CAGCAATTCAATTAAATTCAATACACATTTATTAGGCACTTACTGTATGCAAAGCATTATCCCAAGTCCTGAGGAATACATAAATATTAGTAAGTCCTCTTCTTCTAAAACTTACAATCTAATACTCAGACAACTATAACATATAATAATGCATAATAAGTGCTTTGGGAAGATGTAGTACACAATGAGGAAAGAGTGCTGGACTTGCAATTAAGAGAGCCCTTCCTTTTTTTTTTTAATTAATGTGTTTTGCTTTTATATTACATTTACAGATTACTCTTACTTCCTGAGCAATCTCTTACAACAAAGGAAAAGTTAAGTAAAAATAATAATACATTGACCTCATCTGAAAGTGCATGTACCATTTCACAGCTGTAGTATCCCCTACTTCTCTATTTTATACAAGTGAAGTCTAAGAGTGAAGGTTGTTACAAAAAAGATTAGAAGAGACTTCATGAAGGAGATATTTGAGCTGTACTTTAAATGATAGGTAGAATCCAAAGAAAAGGACAATAATTCAGGTGCTGGAGGCAGTGTAAGCAATAGTACGGGGGCGTTTTTGAAGGACAGAGAAGAGTCCAGTTTGGCTCCCTTTATCTGGAAGGGAGCATAAAAGATAAGACTAGAAGGTCAGGATGTTGCAAAATTGTGGAGAGAAAAGGAAGAGAGTCTCTGCTGTCAAGCAGTTTCCAATCTAATGGAGGGAAGAGGGGTTGTGTGTGCAACATGCAAAGAAATACAGTATATACAAAGCAAGCTATATACTGGGTAAATAGGAAGCAATTAACAGAGGGAAGGCATTAGAATTATAGGGGTTGGGGAAGGCTTTTAGTAAAAAAAGGGATTTTAGTTGGGTCTCAAAGGACTCTAAAAGGTTTAACAGCCAGGCTCCTAAGATATATACACACAATTTTAAATTTAATCTGCTTCATGTCTATAGAAGACATAAAGCTTTTTTATGTCTAGACAATCAACAAAATGATTTGTAGGATTTGCTAATTTCTGAAGTGTATATGCTGAAAATTTAGCAATTGCTCTAATCACCATTTAGGCCTGGGCTCTAGATCACTCCTGTATGTAAGTCAGTTGATGAAAAATAATGCACCACAACCATTTTTACCATCAGTAAATAACTCTGCCTCAGAGAGGCTGCTTTCTTTTCAGAACAGTGTTTCTCAGGTTGCTTTTCTCTCTTTCTCACACAAATGTCCTTTTTCCTCCTCCTTTCATTTTTTTTTTTAGGCAGTTGGGGTTAAGTGACTTGCCCAGGGTCACACAGCTAGTAAGTGTCCACCTAGCTGCCCCCCCCCTCCTTTCAGTAAACAAAATATCCACATTAAAAAAGGAGGCAATACTTTATACCTATTATGGAGAATCAGAGAAGCACAGATTATCAAGAGTTGAATGGGATCTCAAAGCTCATCTAATTATCACCTTATTTTAGCTAGCATTTACGTAGCACTTTATGGTTTTCAAAGCGCTTTAAATGTTATCTCCCCAGATGCTCACAACTCCCCCATGTGGTGGGTGCTAATATTGGCTAATATGAGTGCTAATATCCTTTCCTCAGATAAGGAAACTGAGGCAGAGGTTAAGTGACTTGCTCAGGGTCACGTAGCTAATAAGTGTCTGAGGCAAGATTTAAATCGAAGTCTTCCTGATTCCAGTCCAGGGCTAACCACTTTGCCACCTAGCTGCCTTTTATCCCCTTATTTTACAGGTGAAGAAACTGAGTCCAGAGGGATCAAGCAGTAAGCCCAGTATTCAAGCCCAGGTTTCCTGACTTCCAAGTCCTATACTTTTTTTTTAACAGTCTAACACCATGTTATGCTATCTCTCACATAACCAATGCTAAAGGGAACTAAGTATTATTGGAGGCATTTTCTTTCCCTATTCACCCTTTTAAATATTTTTATTTAAATAGATTTTGATATGGAATTGTAATATGTAGTTAAAAAAAAAATTGGATTGGGTCTCAGTCCTGGTCATTCCACTAACAAGCAGTTTAACTCTGGGCAAGCTACCTTAGGTCTCTGAGTCTCAGTTTCCTCATCTGTAAAATGAAAGAATAATGTCTGAGGTCCCTTTCAAGCTGTGATATTCTATGGACCACTATTTAGATCAAACACCAATGCAAACACTATTGCAAAGACTTGCCTTTTAAAGTTACAAAAGGAGAGGTCTGGGTGATCATTTAAGAAGTACTAAGGATATTCATTCCTGTCCTACCACAGGAACTTCTGAATTGAAAAGCCACTTTGCATCAGAAGCTAAGAGGATGCCATTTGGGCAAATTCCTGGGATGCCTTTCTCCTATTTGCTGCTCCTCTCCCCACCTGCACCCTAACCTTAGTCCAGAAGTTTGAATTACATAGGTGATCTGCAAAGAAAGTACAACATAGCTGTTATCTAATGGCAATTAAGTGTCAACAAGAATTTATTAAGTACCTGCTATGTCCAAGTACTTACAGCGCTAGATACTTGGAATACAAAGATAAAAATGAAACTCTCTCTGCCCTAAAAGATAAAGATAGACAGATGGATAGAGAGATAGATATACACATATGTACATATACATGCATATTTACATATACATATATTATTTCTATATATCAATTTTATATCTACATGTATGGGTTATACACATACATATGTATATATTTTTACATACCTATATACACATGAAGGTAATTTTGGAAGTAGTTGCGATGGGAGGTCATGTAGAAGATGGCACTGGAACAGCGTTAAGTTATATTACCTGACTTGAATTCTCCCTTACATCCAGGAATCATTAAAATGTTAAAAAGTAAAAGACAGAAGCCACCCCTAGTGCATACTTAACAGGGTAAGTAGAATTTAGACTCTTAAAACAGTGCTGCTGTCTTGCCATGTCTCAGAGGATCAGAATTATTGTTCTATGAAAGCTGTGTTAAAACTGCTGTAGATAATTTTCTGCCTTTTTTTTTTTTGGTTGCTAACCATTTTTGGAAAGAAACAAGCTGTTATTTCCCAAAATCTACTTAAAGAAATTCCAAACTTTCATTCTTCTTTAGTGTGTTCTTTCTTGAGGAGTTGGCAGAAACAAGGAGTGTAGATTTAGAACTGGGAGGGACCTTAGTGGTCACCTACCTGAACTGTCTCATTTTGTACTCGGAACACACTGCGGAGCAGAGAGGAAGGGGAATTTGCTTAAGGGGAAGGAAGGAAGAAAGGAATGAAGGAAGGCAAGGTTAAGTAAGGAGGAGCAGTGTTCCAGCTTTCACTATGGTCAATGTAAATTGAACATTAGATCAAAGCTAATAAGAATTCTGGTCTCTGCTTGTGACACCAGAAACAAATGGAATTTTTAGGCAGCATCAGTTTACATTGGTGCACTGCTAACCCAAATATCAAGGTATTCTGGTATGGAGAGTGCACATTAAAACCGAACACTACCAACAATTCTGGGTCTCTCAGACAGTTTCTGGATCTTGAGAAACAGAAACACAACCCCACATTTCTTGAATATAAGTATAGGGTTTGTTGACAATATTCAATCCACCTTTGGCATACAGAGAAGGATACAAGGACATATGTGCTATTCAGCTTCTCATTTTCAAGGCTCATCTTGTTCTGGTCTCTGAGAGACAAATAACTCTTGTGGTCCTTCCAAGAAAGCAGCCCTGTCCAAAATTGCCAGTGGGGTCTGAGTGCCATAGAGAAGTTAAGGCTGACACTTTTTTATACTATAGAGAGCAGAGGGAATGAGAGCATTTTTCAAATGTCCTTATTTAGCATGTGTATATCCCAGCTACCTTTGAATATGCCAGTGCTGACCCTGGGCAAGTCAGTTAACCCTGTTTGCCTCAGTTTCCTCAACTGTGAAATGAGAAGGAAATGGCAAACCACTCCATATCTATAATGAATCCCTTGGTCATGAGTCTAAGGACAGAAAATCTACCAAAACAATAACAAAGTCTTTGAAACTTCATTTGCTTTCGAAGAAGACTATCAGAATACCTGTTATGGTAGGTACCTAAGAAGTAACCAAAGCTATCTGTAGCCATATGAAAAAAAAATTCTTTAACTCACTAATGATTGAAGAAATGCAAATTAAAGCAATTCTGAGGTACTACCTCATACCTATTAGATTGGCTAATAAAACAAAAAAGAAAAATGAAAAATACTGGAAGGGATATGGGGAAAATGGGGCATTAATGTACTGTTGGTAGAGTTGTGAACTGATTCAGCCATTCTGTAGAGCAATTTGGAACTATGCCCAAAGGGCTATAAAACCATGCTATAAAATCTTTGACCTAATAATACCACTACTGGCTCTGTATCCCAAAAGAAAATAAAAAAAAAAGAGGACCTTTATGGTCAAAAATATTAATAGCAGCTCTTTTCTCATGGCAAAGAATTAGAAATTGAGGGGATGCCCATCAATTGGGGAATGGCTGAACCAGTTGTGGTATGTGATTTTGATGGAATACTATTGTGGTATGGGAAATGATGAGCAAGATCCTCTCAGAAAAGCCTGGAGAGACTTGCACGAGCTGATGCAAAGTGAAATGTACTGTGTACAAAGTAACAGCAATATTGTAAGATGATCAGCTGTGAATGACTTAAGTTATTCTCAGCGGTACAGTGATCCAAGACAACTCTGAAGGACTTATGATGAAAAATGCTATCCATCCCCAAAGAAAGAATTGATGGTATCTGAATATAGATTGAAGCATACTTTTTTGGTACTTTATTTTTCTTGAGGTTTTTTTTTTTGAGGGAGTCTGTTTTATTTCACAACATGACTATTATGGAAATGTTTTTCAAGGCTACATATGTATAACCTATATCAAATTGCTTGCCTTCTCAATGGGGGGAGGGTTGGAGAGGGAAAAAGAGAGAGAATTTGGAACTCAAAGTTTTAAAAACAAATGTTAAAAAATTGTTTTTGTATGTAACTGGGGAAAAATAAAATGCTAAAAATTTTTTTAAAAATAGTTTAAAAACATAATAGGTACCTGATACCTTGCCATTAAGGATTCATCCTGTCTCCTTAAGCTGCTTCAGATTCTTAGTTTGGGAGGAGGAGAGGCTGTTGAAGCTCAGGTCTGCTGAATAGTTGAGTAGGCGAACTTGCAGATGGTGATAGAGAGAAACAGCATAAATATCTCTATACTAAGTTATGAACACATTTCCACAGTTTGTCAAAACAGTATCTTATTTTGAAGTAGGAAACTCATAAATTGAATCCACCTATCTCCATGTACAACCCCCCCTCCCAAATAAAGTCCTAAAAGCACATGAAGGAAACATGACATAGTGGAAGGAGAGATAGCCTTAAAGCCAGAAAGACCTGGATTCAAATCTTGCTTCTGACACATACTGGCCATGTGATTCTGGACAAGTGTCTTAACCTCTCAGTGCTCTAGGCAGTTTTCTAAGACAAGTTGTAGAGAAGGTGCTGACTTGCATTGATAGGGAAGTTCTTTACTGGGCAATCCCTCCATCAATGAAATCACAGGTCTAGTCCATATTAATTAATTAATCAGTCAATACTTATTAGGAACCTACTGTGTGCAAGGCACTGTGCTAAATTCTGGAGTCTCTATGCCTAAATTCACAAGAAACTCTAGGCCAAATGACTTTCAACTACACATTTGTTGCATTCAGTGCCTTGTCTTTACAAAGCACTGTACTAGTTACTGGCCATAGCTATGCAATGTAAGGTCCTGGGTGGCAGGCCCTATTTCAGTTTTGCTTTTGGAGCCTCAGCCAGGATTAAATATTAAATCCTCTGTCTGGCCTTCAAAGCCCTTCACAACCTTGCTCCCACTACCTTTCTAGTCTTAACACCTTATTCCCTCCTCCCCCACCCTGCCTGGGCCTTCTGTGATCTGGTGACACTAGCCTTCTTGATGTTCTTTGAACAAAATACTCCACCTCCAAAATCCAAGTATTTTCACTGGCTGCCCCCCATGCCTGGAATGCTCTGCCTCCTCACTACACCTCTTGGCTTCCCTGGTTTTTTTATGTCCCAGATAAAAATCTAATCTTCTACCAGAAGCCTTTCCTGATCTCCCTTAATGCTAGTGCCTTCCTTCTGCTGATTATGTCCAGCTTAACCTGTATAAGGCTTCTTTGTCCATGGTTGTCTAAATGTTGTCTCCCTGTTAGACTGTGAGCAGAAGACAAACTATGTTTTGCCTTTCTTTGTATTCCTAGCACTTATAATAGTTGGTACTTTCTGCCCCCCAAAGAAATTACTCATATGGGGAACAGGTAACCACACTAGAATTGTGGCAGTGATTACTATTGTGAAATTTTGAACTCATCTCAAGGTGAGAAGAGCCTTCTTCCTGTCCTTTGTCTGGGCCTTAAGACAGGAAGTTTCATCTTCCCAAGTTCAAATCTGGCCTCCCATACTTACTAGCTGTATGACCCTGGGGAAGTCACTTAACCCTGTTTGCCTCAATTTCTTCATATATAAAATGAGCATGGGAAGGAAATGGCAGTCCACTCCAGTATCTTTGTGATAGGGTCACGAAGAGTCAGACAGACTGAAAGGACTGAATGACAACAAGGAACAGGTGCCTACACCAGAGCTGTAATAGTGACTGCTATTTTGAAACCATCTCAAAATGGGAAGAGCCTTTTTCCTATCCTTGCATCTGAAAATCTTGGAGGCCTGAGCTTTCATCCTTTCAAAGGGGCATTTTGAGTGCTCTCCTAAACCTGAAGGGGAAAAGAAATACAATTTGATGAAAATGAGGGAGGAAAGGGTTCATGGTACATTATTTAAAATGAAGTTTTAAAGGCTCCCAAGGCTCAAACCAAATTATGTCTTTAAATGGTTGTGTCCTAGTAAGCTGGCTTTTGTTAGATTAATGTTTTTCTGGTCAACCATACAGTTGTTTCTTGGACATTTAAGGAATTGTTTGGGGTTTTTTCTTTTTTGGAAAGGTTTCCATATTCAGAAGGATGTCCCAGACATTATAAAGTACTGAACCTTCTTCATTTTCTAATTCCTTTACTTAATCTTCCAGTTCAGTGTATTTTTTCTTCAGGGCTTCTGTAGTCCTCTGATAGACATACATAGTGCCCCGGTTATCAGTAGCCTGCAACCCGAATTTACTGAACTAGAAAGGTGGTTCTTATCTAACAATGACTTAAAATTCAACTAAAATCCAAGCCCGATTGTGGATTTCAGTTCCCAGATTAGGAAAATGGAGGATACAGAGGTCTCATTAACAATTAAAATAGCAGCTGGTACCCAGGGTATAATATTGGCTTGCAGTGATAACTTACTGGATCAGAGAACCTTCTGGCCCTCAGAGTCTTAAATGTATCCTGTGGCAAAGAGACATTTCTGGGTAGAAGGCAGTGGGAAAAGGAATAAACCAGGGGAAAATGTTGTGGCAAATCACTTCTGTGGCTTTCTGATGTTCTCTTCTTACTATCCAAATTCTAAAGGTTCTCTCTCTCCCTGTACTTATTGTTTATATTCTACTTCCTATTTTTCAGTAATAATCCTCACATATAGGTCAGGGCCAGAGACTCTTATATTATCCTGATTTTGTAGAATCTAAAAGTTAGAATAACAATATCAGATTCTTGGGCAGAATCTGATACAGAGAAGAAAGGATGCACACATGGAATGAATGGGTTAAGTTAATGCATCTAAATGTTTACCTCACTTACCCACATAAAGTGGCCAGGGGAAAATCAGAATTGATAGATGAACTCACAGTGATCTACACTAGAAAAGTAGCTGACTAAAATTCATTCCATACTCATATATCTAGTAGGTGGTCTGGCACAGCAGGCAGAAAAAACCAACAACAGTAAAATGGAAGCCAGAAGACCTTGGTCTGGTCCCAGCTCTTCCACTGGCTAGTTGTGTGGGCAGTTTGAGCAAGACACCTCACGTCTCTTACACCTCATTTTCCTCTCGTGCAAAATGAGATGGTTGGATCTTACTGATGATGAAATGATTTCCAAGGTGTTTTTCAATTTTAAATTCTGGGATCTAATGATGTTGTCCTTTAAGCAGCAACTACACACTGGCTGGGATTTTCCAAAGGAGTTTTCAGCTTGACTGCCAATCATATGTATAGTTTTAGCCAAGAACCACACATTTAATGGTGGTTTACCATCTCCAAGGGGTGGCACAATGGAAAGAGCCTGGGGTCAGGAAGACCCCAAATGTGCCTTCATACACATATTAGCTGTTTGACCCTGGGCAAGTCACTTAACCTCTGTCTTACTTAGTTTCTTCATATGTAAAATGGGGATAATTATAGCGCCTTACCTTCCAGGGTTGTGAGGATCAAATGAGAAAATATTTATAAAGTACAGTTCCTGGCACATAATAGGTGCTTCATAAATGCTTGTTTCTGTCTTTCCTTCCTTCTACCATTCCGTTTCACTTCACCTAAATATTGAGCCCTCACACTGTCTTTTTCACCATCCTAATCCTTCTCCAACTCCACCCTTTCCATTTTCCTAACCCTTTGTTAGGAGAAGGGGAAGTTCAGAAATAAGTCGATATGGTTATGGCCAAAAGAGAATCAGATTTAAAGGCAAAAATTAGGGAGGAGAAGAGGCAGAATGCTTTCCTATCAATTCCCAAGACTAAAGGCATTTAGAGCTTGAAACCAATCACTTTGCCCAGAATTTTCTGGAATACAGCTCCACTCTGAGCTATTGAGCCTGACACCTTTGTTTAGTCAATATTCCTGACATGCCAGCTGGCTCATGGGGTCTCCTCTCTCATTGTTACCATAATCAGAGTGGCACTAGGGTTTAATTATGAGAATAGAAAGATAGAGGCTGTTGCCAGTAGACCAAATGAAGGCATCAGCATTTCTCTAATTCTGAAGCAGAGAGAGTCGAGTCAGGCCTCTGGAAAGGTGTCCTTATTTCGTCAATATAGAGCTAAATACATTGACAGAAGAAGATAAATCTAGCTTACATTTACATAGAACTTTGCAAACCTTATATACATTGTAGTGTATATAAGACTTTATATATAGATTATATACATTATTACCATATTTCATCCTCATAATGCTATTAGTTAGATACTACAACTATCCCTGTTGTAGAGATGAAGAAACAGATTTGGGGATGAAGTTTTTCAGCTATCAAGTGTTAAAGGCAGGATTTGAACCACTGTCTCCTCTGACCAGTCTAGGGCACTCTATAGAACATTGACTCTGAGCAATCATAAAGGAGCCAGGCAAAACCTGATATCATAGTAGCCCTGTACTAGGGAATCTTTTTCCTTGGTTGACTTTCCCGTCATGTTTGTATTTGTGTTCTCCTTTATTGTATGTGCTCTTGGAAATGGTCTTGTACATTGGACTGTGCTGTAAGCAGCCTGAGGTGTTAGGCACATCAGATATGAAAGAGCTAAATAGTGCAGTTCTGTGTTCAGTGAAAGCTACAGCTATAATTCATTTTGAGCCCTTCTCTTCCTAGGTGTGCATCTGAGAGATATGTCACAGAACCTTGCAATTTTTCCCCCTTGTTCTTTTTCCCCTTCCCTACCCCAAGATTTTGTATTTAAGACTTTTCACTGCATGTAGCTTAAAAAGGATTTGAGGCACAACAGCTGCACTACCAACACATCAGAAACAGACTGTATCAGAGAAGTGGAGGGAAGGGCCAAAATGACTGCTGGTAGACACTACCAAGAAAACAAAGGCTGAAGAGAACCACAGGACTATATGTGTAAAGCTCAGAAGTGCCTTAGAGGTTATCTAGTACAACACTCATATTTTTAGATGAGGAAGCTGAGGCACAGTGGTTTGCACAAAATCAAGGGAGTTCCAGATAAACATCTGCTCCTACTTCACCAACTACACTAAAAGTCTTTGTGTGGATCACCTCTGACACATACTAGCAATATGACCCTGGGCAAGTCTCTTAATCTCCAAGACTATAACTTGCAGAAAAGATGACCACTACTTTGGTAAAGGGAGTTCCCTCATTTGGGAGTTCCCTATAGCAAAGAAATCACAGGAATACCCCTTATCCGTCTACCGGTTTTTGCCTGATTTCACTTGGATAAAGATGTTGGGAGTAGATTAGGAGCAGAATGAATAAATTGGGGTGGGGAGAGAAGTATATT